AAATTAGAGCCATAATGCTTGGTTAAATAAGGCAGGAGCTACAATAATTTATTTTGAATTTAGTGATTTAATAGCCTTTCATGAATTTAATTATGTGTATTGTTAGTTTCAGGTCTAAATTAGTTGAACTGGAGTTAATCAACTTTAATTTAACTAGTAACTTTCATTCTCATTTGCATATCATTTTTTCTTATCTTATTGCATCGACTTATATTAAACTATTTTAAAACTGGAAAACCCCAACCATTGTGAAATGCTTGACATAATGTGGGAAATCGAAAAAGTATCGAATTCCAGAGTTATGAAACAATTTTACTGAAAACGCAATGCCTATGTCAAAAGAGATTTAAAAAAATTTCTTTCATTCAAAGATGTTTCAAAAGTTGTTCAAAAGAGATGGAACAAATTTGTCAATGTAGTACAATTTACAATGCAATATTTCATAATCCAACTCTCTCCCCCCCGTCGAATTAGTCCTTTTTTTAGTCTTTATTTCGACAGTAGGTTGTTTTTATAAAAAGAAAATGTAATACTGAATAATATGTTAAATGTACCAACTTGAGACATAGCCATTCTGTGATGACCATGTCTTGCCGGTTCCGCGTAAGCTAGAGGTGTGGGATTATCAAAATGATGAGACATAATTCTTAATACAACTTTTATTAAGAGTAACTTATAATACTTAAATTCTAATTTGACAAATATAATTAGAGTGAGAGTCAAGCCCAAATTAAATCACGTATTTAAGTCAGATCACGCAACTCGATCCTCTATCTCAATTATCCTAAATAATCCTGTTATCTAATTACTTATATCTAATATTACCTTTTCCAGTTCTGGTCCCTTGACCTAGAGAATATTATCTATAAACTTTATATATGAAGATTCTTGATCCGCAAGGTAGCTAATTCTTGATCCTCAAGATTCCACACTAAGCTTTGTCACGCTATCGATCAGAACAATTACACAATACTATCTCTGAGCCTGCCACGCTATATCTAGGTTTGCCACGCTATCCTTTTATAGTATATCTCATTTACATGTTACATTCGTTTATCTTCTTGGTATTGGGTTGGATAAGTTTTGCCATTAATCGTGGCCGTCAAAGAACATAGGAGTCATGTTAATCAGAAAGACGCGAGAGACGTCACAAACTGTTCTTTTTTTTTTCTTGTAACTATATAGTAGGTGTCCTCTAGACACTATAAATGTTAAAAAGTACCAAAATGCGTATTTCATTTAAACTTGCATTCATAAAATTGTTCAAATACCTAAATTTCATTCCCTTTGTGGTGGTAATTAACATAAAAAATAGATTTTATTGTATTTTTTCTTCATCTGTACGCAAGAGAACACCTGTTTTTCGCATAGCTAGGTTTTGAAATTTTCCAAAGAAATTTTGATTCACCTTTCCACAGACGTAGATAATCGAATTATGCAGATTTTAAATGTCGTATATAGAAATGACATACCAGATTACCTGTATCTGATGTCAAAGGTCAACCATACCCTCACATACACGTTATGAAACAGCTGCCAACGGATACAAACCTAGGCATATTCATCACACCAGATATCTAAGGAACATGCAGACTGTAGATAAAGAAGAAAGTGTCATGCACTGAAGAAGACTTGCACAGTCCGATAAATATGTGGACAAGTATTGTCTTACCGAAATACAATTTCAGGAATGCATTGCAGAAGGGGTCCGTAACTTATCTGATGTTGCACTCTGAGGCCGGTTTCACTTGAGGTAACTTTGCTCTAGTCAACTCATTTCTTATCATTACACCTTTAGTGTAAAGAGGGTAGAGAATTCTTTTCACACATGGACACAAAATTGACAGACAAGGAGTGCGTGCCGGATGTATCGAGATAATAATAATTAAATGCGAAGAAGCAATACATAATTCCAGTACACAAGTAGCCACATGTGAAAAGCATAGTTTCCACAATATCCCTTCAGTTGAGGAAGTAGTGAAGGAGGGAGGATAACGTGATTTTTTCGAGTGCTTGAGGGAGTGCCAGTTGGCCACGTTTGAGGAAACCCTGGTGATTTCTATTCAAAACTTGCTCTTGATTGGTTGTTCCTTCTGTTAGAATAGAAATCACCTGTTTTCCTTCAAACGTAGTCAACTGGCACCCCTCAAACACTCGAAAAAAATCTCGTTATTCCCTCCCCCCGCACACTGGTATTTAAAAATCGCTTCCGATTGGCTGTTCCTTCTGTTAGGTGAGGTACAAATTTGATTCATGTGAAAGGACCCTAATTTCAGGATTTTCCTAATTTGAAATGGATTGGATCCCGCCTGATATCCAATACTACTTCATACCATAACGTCCATTATAGTGTGAAGTAAGAAACTATGTGGTAAGGCGTTCAACTATGTTGCTTCTGACGAGTACGTGTCTGTTATAAACCACATTATAAGGGGAGATTCCATTAAAAAAAATACCACTGGTTGTGTTGGTGAGAATTAAGGGAATCCTAGGAAAAAACTAATTAGGTAAGAAATTTGTGTTTATTTTGGAAATTTTTAACCTAATAATCTTTGATGGGAAATATATTTTTACGAATGGGTCAAAAGATTGAAAACAAGGTAGAAAAACTATTCACCACAACATTAAAACATAAAAAATAGAAAAATTGAGAATTTATTGTTTAACAGAAGCTATAAAATAATTTTCTCTCACTCAAGTGATATTTTCTTTATCTTGTTGTCTGCTCTACCAAAAGAACACAATTGAAGCGATTCTTTAAATCTTATTTTGTTTTTAATTAATGCCAAAACGTCCTACCAGAAAGATATGATTATTTTTAAAACATTATTTAAAAAGTATATATTTCAGTAAATAAATTTTATTTCATGCCCTTTTCGAATAACTTCTCCAAGCATTTAACGTTTTTAAAATTCAAAATAGAGATACTGTTTGAATTAAAAGTGTTTTTAAAATTTTCTTCAAATTTTCTATTAAAATTTATAATTAAAACATACATTTCCTACAAAAAATTTTTTGAATGCATTTTTTAATGTACTTGAAAATTTAAAAGCTGCTGCATTTATCGAAAAAAAATTAATTTTAAAAATCGGAAACGTACGAAAAGATGAAAATTGAGGGTTTTATTTATTTGTTATTATTGATTTAGTTTCTATTTAAACCATTGAAGAATTTGATTATTTGTTCATACCTATTAACAAGTAGTATAAAAAAAATTTAAGTCAATTCCTACTTTGGTCAACAAAGAAAAATTTTATGTATTTACTTTTTATCAAATAATTACAATTAATATAAATATGTATACACATATGACAGAATCACAGTATTGAGTGACAATTAATTTTTATTGATTATCATTAAAGTATTGTATTGTCATCCAAAACAATTGTACATATAAAATTTCAGTTCAACTGAATGCTTTAAAACGTGAGGAAAACAAAGCTTTTGAAATTTTGACCCAAGCCGCTAAAAATGAAAAAAGTTAACCTTACTCTGTATCTGTAATTCTTTAAATAATTAGTTTCAGTCAATTAATTTTAATTAATTATAATTAAATTACTGTATTGTCACCCAAAACAGTCTTGCATACAAAATTTAAAGCTTTAAAATGTGAGAAAAAAAACCTTTTACAGTTTTGATACAAGTCACCAAAACGATCACTAAGTCACCAAAAATGATGCCAACATGGCTGTATGTGTAATTCTTTGAACAATTAGTTTTAATCAATTAATTTTTATTAATTATAATTAAATTATCGTATTGTCATCCATGACAATCGTGTATATAAAATTTCAGCTCAATTGAGCGCTTTAAAATGTATTTTATTAACGGTTGAAAATTTGAGCAAAATATATATAGGGAGATTGTGAACTAATAGCAGGAATTGAAAAAACATACATACTTCACTTAATTTAATCCATCTATTTCACGAAAACGCAAAAATTAAAAAATACTTCATTATTGTTATTTATTTATTACTTTGGACAAATGCTGTTTGCAAATTATCAGCTAACCTGCAGCTTTATTTAATAATACATATAATTTTTCACTTTAATAATTTTATATAAAAATTCATTTTTTATTTAAAATTAAGAGATTTTTAATGCATACATTTTTATAACTGTGCATTATAATTAGTACAAGTTCCGTTAATTTGTCTTGTTCTTCGATCACGTTTCACTATAGCGGAGTGTGATTGACAAACTTGAAGATAGGATTCTTCTAGAACACATGTGGGTGGTCAAAGCTCTCATTAACCCAATCCCTAGAGGACTTGTTACAACACTTTCCTTATTCTTAGAGGCCATAAAAAGATACTTAAGAGAATCGGATCATAAAAGTCCCAACGAAACAAGACTTCATTGCTTTTAATAAGTTACATCTTGCCCCTAAAAAACAGAAGGGTTGGATCGTTTGGTCTGTAAGAGTAACCCCTGAAAAGGTACTCGCTGTAAGTTGAGCCATGCAGTAGCAGATATCCAGTTTTTGCCATAATCTAAATATAAGATTAAAAATTTCAGAGAATGGCATAAAAAGTTGTTTTCGAGGACCATCATGATAAGAGGTATATTTCTATAGATTGATATAGACACTCATGTGCATGTTCTACTAATAAAATAACAGTAAATGAAATTCTAGACTTTTGTGTATGCTAGTACTTTTATTATATATATATATATATATATTATTACTACTTATCTTATGACAGAAGGTTTTACTATTTTGGAGATAAAAATCCGTATTTAATTATATGTAATCTAATAACGCTTCGTAAATTTATCTGAAATTAGATATGGTCATATGTTTATGGAAGTTTAGTTAAACCCATTGCCTGCAATGCTAGCGCGTATCATATTTAATATTAATATAAGTAAGACAAGTCTAAAATAATATTCTGCAAATATGTTTGACACTATGCACATTAATGGATTAAATTCATGACGGCTAGATGATAAATTTATTCACTTGTTTTCCATTGAATTAAAAACAACCTAACAATAGCCTTATGCCGTCCCAACTTGTATGGGGATTATGACATTTGGCTTGTAATCAAAGGGGCTCGGGTTCGAACCCCGAATAAGGCATGGGTGTATCTTCGGGAATAGAACTCGGACTTTCGCCTGAAATGGAAAGTAGCGTATCCCTTCTGTTCTATGCTGGGATCATCGTTTGTAATTAGAAATATTTATATTCTTCAATGTTTGTGTTGTGTATGTTTCTGTAATTCCAACTCTCATTTTTTATATGTATCTCAGGATAAAACATACGAAAACAACAACAATAGCCTTATACTTGTTATACTGCTATTAAAATTTATATACAAGATCAAAAAAAAAATAAGTTAATTAGGTAAAAGATTAAAAAAAAAGTTAAATTTAATTTTAAAATGTTTTTAAATTTTTAAAAAATAACATTTCTTATATGATACACGCATTTTTAGTCGAGTGCATTTTATTTTCTATGTAGATTATTATTGTTGACAAATATGTACATTTAAAATATAAAGTTTCCGCAAAAAGTAAACTTTGGCAACAGAGAAACGCATGAATTCATTGCTTGAAACACGTGATTGTATTTATAGTGGGACTACGACGTCACTTGAGTTTATGAACTGATTATCCGGAAACACGTGTTGTAGCTATAATGGGATTATGACGTCAAGAAAATTTAGTTTTTTTTCGATATTTCCCTTAGCAAACGCGTAAAAAATTGATAAAAAGTTATTGTAGTATAGATTTCTTATCATGCACACAAAGAGCATCTAAAAATACATTAATTAGAGACAACATCCAAATAGATAAATACAATTAATATTAGATCATTATTAGATATAATAGTTCTTTGAAAATCAAAAAATAACTATGCGTTTATTAAATTTTAATTAGGGGAATTATGTATCATTATCTTGTATTGGATATAGTTTAACTAGAAAAAAAGCGCCTAAGGTTGTCTTTGCGAATGTGTCTTGCAAACTGTGTTCCATGGAACCCTGGGGTCCTTCGAGGTATACACAGGGGTTCCACAAATCACAATGAAAAATCACACACACACACACACACATATATATATATATATATATATATACTCTTTTGTCCTTCATTGTGTGATTTTCCTGCTGTCTATGTGTTTGTCGAGTGTTATTGTTTGGATGTGATCTCTTGTTAGTAGAGAATTGACCTATATATATATATATACATAATTTTGTAGGTAAAATGGATTCACGTTCTGTATGAAGTGTTTGTATAACCACAAGTATCTACTGCTAATCAGTCATTAAAAATGAAAATTTTATTAATACATAACTTTTTTTTTATTATTTTGTAATACTTTTGAATCATAATGTAATAAAAGAACGTTAAAATATTTCTTTTTCTTTATGTATGAACTACCTATGAACTACTAGATTGAAAAGATTCTATTTTTTTACTATCTCTGGCTCCTCGAAATAACTTTATACTCGTTAGAACAATGTTCTGCAAAACTAAATAGTTTTCACAAATGGAAAATGCACTTTTTTTCATTTATGGAAAAAAGAATACTTTTAATGAAGGAGAGGGGATAACTTATCAACCTATCAATGGATTCGACGTTAAAATATACATTTAAGCAAGAACAGTTCCTAAATTTTAAGTTGCATATTCATGCAGAATACCCAACATTTCTCCCACAGCTATAAACATTCTAATGCCATACATAACCTTGTATTTAAGCTAAAAATATTTCACAACGTACTACAGAAACAAAGTATATAACAAGTAATATAAAAAAAAATTTTAATCAATTCCTACTTAGATCAACAAAGAAAATTTTTATCTTGACTACTTTTTATTAAATAGTTACAATTAATATAAATATATACATACATAGGACAGAGTCACAACATTAAGTGCTAATTAATTCAATTCCTACACTATTAGGTCACACTCTCTATATATTTATTTATTTGTTTGTTTGTTTATTTATTTATCTTGGCGGAATTTTCAATTATTAATAAAATACATTTTAAAGCACTCAATTGAGCTGAAATTTTATATACATGATTATTTTGGATGACAATACAATAATTTAATTATAATTAATAAAAATTAATTTATTAAAACTAATTATTTAAAGAATTACAAATACAGCCACGTTGGCAAATTAGCGACCATTTTGGCGACTTGGGTCAAAACTTGAAAAAGTTTTTTTTCTTATACCAAAATATAAAATTTCCGTAATGGCACCCAACAAATTAAATTTTAATGTCTATACGTACTCGTAAAAATATTAATACCTACAGCCTTTATTTAAATAAATATTGTGCATCGTAATAAAAGATTTTCATAATGGCGTTAAAAAATTTAGAACCATTATACTTTTTAAAATCTTGAACTGGTGGGGTCCCAAAGTTTTTCTGTCGTGGAGGAGGGACCGTCCGGATATTTATTGCATTATTTAATATTCGCACATTTTAAGTAATCCATTCGTGCGAAACTATTTAGTTTTTGCGTGGATGTTGACTTCATGCAACCCACCCATCAACTTATGCCCGTTTTTTTTTCACTCAAATACGTTGTTTTCTATTTACTGTGTTGATATTCCCAGGGGGAGTGAACCGTAAGCATTTTTTTATGGAAATAGTGGGTGATGTCCTCTTTTTAGATAAATGAGGAGTAGTATTTTTGGTACTTATATATTATAGCAACCATGCCAACTTTGAAGATAACTCACCAAATTGGCAACCATGTGTTTCTTTAATAGTTATCAGTTTACAGCTATTATAAGCTTAACCGTTCATTAATATGGCAAGCTCGAATGCCAAAATACGAATGTGGTATTTACCGAATTCTTAAATAATAAAATTAAATCATATAATTATATATTATTATTGTTATATTGTTATTATTATTTTTATATATACATAAAAATGGGTGCTTGTATATATGAACTCGCTTCACATCAACACTGTCCAACCGATCACTATGAAAATTGGTATGTATATGTATTTTTTTATGGAAAAAGGTTTTTGTGCTATCCTCTTTGTTGCAGTTTCCCACCAGGTGGCGCTACAGCATATCAACTTCTGCACCTTTTAATCCATCGCCAAGTTGCAGACAGGATCGCAAAAAATGATGCCAACCGCTCTACCGCCAACATTTTGCTATTTCCATTGAATCGCCATTATAATGTAAGGAACGGCGTTACTTGCAAATATTACAATTTCAATATAAAATGAATACAACAGAAAGTAATATTAATGTATTACACATCCCCAGATATAAATTATTTACACTATTTTAAGCATTCATTGTACAAAATTTGCAACAATATGTCACTTTTGCTGAGCAAAGATCATCTTATGAAGGTGTTTTAAAAACTTTGACCCACAAGAGAGTTACAGGGCATTGTAAATAAATAAATAAAAAATCCTTTTTACAGCTATTAGATCTACAGATTTAAAATTTAACAAATATGGTTCTTTTTGTTCAGCTGAGATATGCAAAAAACTTTTTTTGTTAAATTTGCAATTTACATAAAATTAACTCATTAAAAACCTTTTTTTCCTTCGATTTGTATTGTTTAATTTTTCAATTCACCCGAGCGAAGAACGAATATACCAGCTAATTATACAATATAAAATTAATAATGATATAATAAAAATAAAAACTAATAAAATTACTTATTATTTTTCTTTTGTTCATTATTTTTTTTGTAACTATATATATATATATACTTTTTTCACGTAGTATTTTTTGACTACTCGCTCCATATACCCGTCAGCGTAATCCAGTTTTAAAACTCGTGCCGTTTTATTCATTGTCGCCAAAATGGTTGAGATAATGCTATTTTTTTCTGAAAAAGCAATCATGTGAAAGTTTTGTAATCCGTGATATAAATATTTTGTCTGTTCTGCGATATATACGCAAATAGAATTTTTCTTCTAAAAATTAACACCATATATCTCGCATATAAAAAAAAAACGCATTGATAAATTTAAACATTTTATATTACTTTATCAAATAGCATTTTCTGTTAAACCAAGAGTTCTTTTATGTTCTGAAAACTTTCGTCGTTAATATTCAAGCAGTAGTTCATTTCAAAGAATTTCGCTTGTGAAATACTGGTTTAAAATATTTGACATGATGATTCTTAGCCTATAATCTAAAGAACACGTTCTAGTAATTAGATACTGTATGTGTTACACTCATTAAACCACAAAATAGAAGGTTTTTCGAGTGAATACCAATGGTGTTCGATGAGTGTTGAAGGAAAACCCTGGGAAAAAAAAGAAGAGGAAAATGCCACCTCGGAAGAATATTTCAAGGATAACCCGAGGAAAAATACAATAATTTTTCAATCCGGAGATGGCGAATCGTTACAACAAGCTAATTAGTAATTACTTATTCTTACTAGCAGAAATATTTCATTTAGAAATTACAGGTAAAATCCCAAAGACCTTTTAAGTGTTTCTAAAAGAAAAACCTTACTTCCTGTCTACATTTTCAAATGCCACCCGGTTTTGTTTTCAGTCAATGGGCTCAATTCATGTGACGTCATTGTCACGTGACAATGATAAATACGCGTTTTTAGCCAATCAGTGTTAAAACCTATGTGATGTCATAGTCACACGATAAAGGTAATCCCATGTTTCAAGCTAATCAGTTCATGCGCTTCGTTTTAGTCAATTTTTGATCTTTTCAGAAACTTTCTCTTCTAAAATACAAATTTTTGTACAATAATAACGCAATTGGGTAGAAATTTTTTGGATTTATTTAAAAGTACATGCATAAAATAAGATTTTTTAATTCATAATGTTTTATGAAATGAAATTATACAAATTGAACAATTTACAAATTGAACATCAAGTGCATTTAGTTTAATGTCTGTTTTGAATTCAATGGAGAACACGTGTTTGTCTTTATCATGCAACCGTTATGAATTGAGCTCATTTTTTGCATATACATATACAATAGATTCAACACTATTTTCAACAGAAGCTCGTAATAACTTGAATATAGGTCTTGGATAAGGTTTCTACAACAAATAGGAAATAAGTGTAAACGACAGTTGTACAATAAGTATAGCGATAATTATAACTATTAAT